GTGATATTGGCCACCGCATTGAAAGACGCCCTTTATTACATGTTGAATATTATTTCCTGTAAAATAATAGAAAACGATCTCTATATTTCAATATATTACTTTTTGTTATTTCTAATAATTATAATTAATAACAGTTACTTGTTATTATTTCGAAAATTTATAAACATGTAGCTTATCTCTGCATTTCTTTCCAAAAAGTTCAAATTTATTTTTGCTTTTATTTTTTTCCGAGGGTTGTAATCGATGGGATAATTTTAATCTAATTGCATAATCTAATTTGCCTTTATCAATTTCTATACCTTTCGTGTTCGCCGAAACGTACACGTTCTGTCTGATCCTAGTATTATCCTGCGTGGCGAGTGCATCCTCGATACTTATCACTGGCTTCGTTTGCAGAAATTCACTATATTTAATTTCTACCAATTTCGCTGCCTCATTCGCCAAATTATGCGTCTCGGCGACGATTACGCCGACTGGCTGGCCAGCATACTGAACATCCTTTTCGGCAAACAACACCTCATCTTCATTCAATAACACAAATTTGCTGGCGCCTGAAACGCACAGATTCTCACCGGGTACGTCCTTGGCGCTAAAAAACGCCACTACACCCTTCACAGCAAGTGCCTTGCTCGCATCTATACTGTCGATCATGCCGTTACCGACTTTCGTGAGGACGAAAGCGCAAAATACTTCTCTAGGATATGGAGGCAGATCATTGCAATATTGGGCTTCGCCCGATGTCTGCTTAATGGCATCTAATTTTGGAAGGGGCTTATTCACTGGCCACAAGTCTTTGTCCGTGTCATAGTTCTGCGTACCTAGAGTGAGATTGTATTTTTTGATATGCACAATTCGGAAAATTAATCGGATCGTATTACGAACTTTTTTAATGAAAAGATGTTCACTGTCATATTTATTTCTTTAATATCAATTTTATTTATTTTATTTATTTATTATTGAGATTTATTAATATTAAACAAATTAACAGTAAGATTTTTAAAAAATTTAAAAACACGTAAACAAAGATATATGTTAAATTTTTTTTAAATACAAATAGAGACAAAAATAAAATAAAACATATATTAAATCCTTGGGCATTGGTAAGAATACTTAAAAGAATGACAATTTTCCAAAATAAATGATCACTTTATTTGTACCTGAAGAGAGACCTCGATCTAATAAGGATCCCCCGCTACGAAGTTTGGGATCTACGTTCTGCGGTTTGATGCTCAACACATACTTATAAAATAATCCCATGGCGAGTGTCCTTCGGAATTTCGGCGAATAGTCAGGCAGCACATGATCGGGATTCAGTTCATTAAACAACGTTTCCAAAGCAGTTTTCAGCACTTGTTTGTCGAAGATAGATTTACCCATCATGAATTGCTCCGTATTAGACGCGTGAAGAAAATGCTCGTTAATTCCTCCAAAGATAATATTGGGCTCCTCCAGCACCTTTTTGTAAAATTTTTTTATAGCATAAATATTTCTATATTTAACAAGTTATCGCGATAATGTTATTAATGTAAACAAATCTAAACAGTTCCGTTATCGTGCATACAGTTTTTCGCGTGCAAAAGTACTTGTTGATGTCGCCGGAGATGATGTTAGGTTTCTTCAGAGCACCTTCTCGAAAAATATTGCGAATACGCCGAATGAGTGATTAATGATGATGTAATATGAATAATTCAGGAGAGGCTTCCGTTACCTTGCCGCCGTCATCAAGTTTAAAGAGGAAGCCGGCGTTGACGTGAGCATGAGCGTTCTGGGCTCTGGGCATGATTTTGTAGGATCTGTATTCGTAATCGTCGGATAGCGCTGGTAACACAACGCTGTAGATGATTTTGTGGTGCATATCGAGCTGCAGATATTCCCACAAAAACAAACTCTGCTTTCGATCGGGTCTATCGAGAACATGTACTTGAGCACCGGCGGTTTCTAATATCAAAAATATATCAGATGGG